TGGAGGGAAAAAATGAATCTCAAGAAATCTAGAGTCCAATAACATTCCGACCGAGTAAGCATTCCCTCTGTTTACAGAAGGAGGGCCACGGGATCAGATATACAAGGACTCTGGAACCTTGAGGTGATATGAGGAGTGGGACATCGATAAGATAGAAAAACGTTCCCCAGTAAATTCAAAGACACACTTCATGCTTTTTATAACATGTTCTGCAATAGAAGTTCCAGAAGTATTAATTAGTTGACATTTTTTGTGTTAGTTTATATATATATATATATATATATATATATATATATATTAAAAAAAGAATGAAACCGCAAACGTCGATTTATTTTAGTGTATATATTATATTTTAGTCTTCATATTTTTGTTACACATGTTTCCGGTCTCGTGACCTTCTCCAGGCAAATTAAAGTAATCATTTTTAAAGGAATAAATTTTCCTTATGGCCGTTTAATGTTTCATTGCTCATTTTCTGTATTTGTACTGAGCCTTGATCTCATTTTTGGACTGTTGGCAAAAGTGAATTTCTCCCTATCAAATGATTGTATTACTACTTATGAAAATGTATTATATATATATATATATATATATATATATATATATATATATATATATAATTATTAAAGAGAAACAGACCACTTTAAGGTACCACTATCATAATTTATTTCACCAGATCCTTTTTAAATGACGCCGGATCATCAGATACCACTTTCAAAAATGAAATGAAACGAAAAATGAAATTAAAATTGATGGGTAGTGTAAGTTTTTATAAGTTAACAAAGAGTGTAAAAGGGATAGTTAAAGAGACATGGTAGAGTATAGGGAGGAATTAATTTCATATCTCTCTCAATCATACTTAGTATTGGGGGAGGAGGAGTGACCAGACCTTGACCTATTTAGACGGTTAACTTAACGGAAGTGATATATTGAAATGGTGTGTGTTGCGCGTATATGCAATTACATATACTGCCCCTCCCCTGTCCAAAGCCACGGATATATCAGAATAATCTGATCTTCCCCTTTTGTATGGGCTGCCATTTTAGGATCTCAGCCATAGTGATCCATGTCCGAAGTTTCTATCTGTACTTTAAGCATCCTTTCATTTGCGATTTCATTTTCTTCATTTGCGTAGATTTTGTAGGTAGCCTAACCATGACAGGATGTATAAGCAGCATAATTTTCTTTTCGTTAAAATTTATCAATTAAATGTTAGTTAAGTCAGTTGTATTTTTTGAATCTTGCGTGTTCTTCTGAGTCATTTATTTTGTTTTTTATTGGACGTAAAAGCAAAGTTAGAGAACGCTAACTATCACTTGACAGAATTTCCCCAATAATATCAAGAACATCGCCGTCTTTCTTGTCTAGTTTTCCTCCTAATTTCTTCATTCTTCGAGTTCTACTAATCCCTTAATATATTTCTTCCGGAAGCTTTTGGTTTCAAATGTCGTCGCGACGTGCCTGTGCGAAATCATCATAAAATTTAAAAGGAAAAGAATTCTTATATATTCCCAGTCTATTGAAAAAAATAAGAAAGATATTTTTTTTTGTAAAGGATCCAAATATTTTTTCTATTGTTCGAGTTTTCTTATAATTACTTTCCAAATAATAAGGTCAATTGGCATCGAGCACCCACACGATTACTGTTAAAATAGCTAACCACCACATCTACTTCAACAGTTTATTTTCTCGCAATTCCCACCTGTGGAATTCCCTTTACTTGCTGTCCTGATAACTATAATCTTCAACATTTTAATTTCAACGTCAATCGCCATCTTCTATCTTCTTGAATCCCGTTCATTTTTTGTCATTTTAACAACCCTCCCTATATTCAGTCTTTTCTCTCATTTTCACTCCCTGTAACCCCTACTTACAAGTGGTATTCCTGCCTTGTTTGGGTTGTACAAACTAACATAAGATAAATATTTTTTTAATTAAAAAGTAACATCACACACATATTATATATATATATAAATATATATATATGTAAATGGATATAAATCCGACAGAATGTAGAAATTTTGAAAAACAAACAAAAATCCATATATGTAGTTAAAATGAAAGAATTGTCGACGTCAGACGTTTCGGTTTTAATAAACCATTTTCAAGACAAAATTCATTAAAATACAAATTCAGTTCAATATGACGAAAACGATGGACATAAAAACACAAGTCTTATCCAATCTTATCGTCATTATTTTAAAATTCCTGTATTTCCGGATAAGCCTGCAATCTACCATGTTGTAAAAAACGAATTTAGGTTTGTGTTTTCAGTAGACAGTATATAAGCAAGTGTAAATGGATATAAATCCGACAGAACTTTTAGGAATACGTTATGAAGGCGTCGCCCATGTGACTGCGGCGTGACCACGTTAAACGGAAAGCTGATCTTTTTAAAAATTGTCAGTTGTCTGTTTTACTCTTGGATAAGACTTGTGTTTTTATGTCCATCGTTTTCGTCATATTGAACTGAATTTGTATTTTAATGAATTTTGTCTTGAAAATGGTTTATTAAAACCGAAACGTCTGACGTCGACAATTCTTTCATTTTAACTACATATATGGATTTTTGTTTGTTTTTCAAAATTTCTACATATATATATATATATATACGTACATACACAGTTGGCTGAAACAAATATTTGTACACATACAAATTTCTAATTTATTTTATTTCCAACTAATGAATAAAATACATTTTCATATAGCTATCTGTACACTGATTCATAAAAAATAATTATGCATAAAAAACAGAAAAATATTGATTTAATAGACATTAATACCATTCATTTATTTTAATTCATACAATGTAAAGTTAAGATTTTAAAACATTTAAATTGCTTTAATAATCTAGATTATTCAAGTGGAATATTCTAGAATGTTTCAGTGTTATCAGTAGTTATTTTTAACCTAAAAAATATTCGTGCAAGAATGTCTTCATAATGCCAGGAAGTAATGAATTGGCAAATTCGCAAAAAGAACTGATTGTTAAGTTCTGGAAGCAAGGTGAAAGATACAGGGAAATCACAGACAAACCGGATATTGACTTTACTACAATTAGTTCCTTCATTGCAAGGTATTCAAAAAACTCATACCTGTTGAAAGCCAAAGAAGAACAGGATCTCCACGGAAGAATTATGCAAGATCTTCGAGGAATTAATGCGTCAAATTAAACAAAATCCAATCATTACTCGTCAAGAGTTGCAGGATGATTTGCTTCCATCAGGAATCTGTGTCAGTAAACGAACAATAAGCAATAAAATTCATAGGAACAATCTAAAGTCCCGCGCCACTATTGAAAAGACACAGCGATGCCAGATTGAAATTCATTCGTCAACATAAGAATAAGGAAATATTGTATTGGGGAAGAGTTTTATGTAAAGGCGAAACCAAATTTGAGTTGTTTAATTCTAGAAATAATGTATGGAGGAAAGATGACGATGCGTTCAAACTCAAGAACACAGTTCCAACAATGAAATTTGGTGGTGGCAGCATCATGGTTTGGGGATGTTTTTCAGAAAAAGGTAGAATAACAGATGGCAGAATGAATACCGCAGCATATCGAAATATTTTGGAAAAATGTTTAATGATTTTGGTTGAAAATCTTGAAATGCTTCCTGACTGAATCTTCCAACAAATAATGATCCTAAGCTCAATGCAAAATCTACGAAGAAATGGCTTGCAATAATGTAAATATCTTAAAATGACCAAGTAAGTTCCCAGATTTAAACCCAATCGAGAATCGGTGTCGTTATTTGAAAATTCAAATCCAATCGAGATCGCCAAGAAACATCCCGGATCTGAATAACATAGGCGAAGAAGAATGTCACAAAATGCCAACTAAAATTTGCAAATCGTTAATTGAGAACTACAAGAAGATTTTGGCTTCTGTAGGAATGAATAATGGCAATTCTACAAATATTTGAATGAAGATTATATATTATTTTTTGTATTGTACGAATGGCATTTATTTCTATTAAAAAGAATAATTAGTTATTCTAAGAATACTTAGTTATTATACATATGTGTAAAGTTAATTATATGAAAACTATTTTAATAATGAAACATAAAATTTACTATTTTATTTAATTATTTGTCATCCTTATACACATTTAATTACTGCAAACTGTGTCTGAAAGAAGATTTGACGGATAAAATCAGGTTTTCACTGGAATCACCAAATCGTTGAACCCTAATTTCAGTATTGTAATACTAAAACATCAACTGTTGAGATTATAATTTATATCATTGAAATATCACATTGTACACGTCACCAACTGTTGAGTAAAAATTATTTTTTTTAATATATATATATATATATATATATATATATATATATATATATATATAAATCTCAGCAATGAATGTTGACAGTAATATCAGACATTTATTTTTTATTTAATAATTACTTGGAAATACAATAAATTAAAAATTTGTATGTGTACGAATACTTGTTTCAACCCCCCACTGTGTATATATATATATATATATATATATATATATATATATATATATATATATATATATATATATATATATATATATATATATACAGTCATATACGTACTTGTGAATTCACATATATCTATTTATGTATAAGATTATCTAGTCACATAAGTACATATGCGTATGATTTTGTATTGACATGTGTGCAAGTACCCAGGCAGATATGTGAATCTCTTGTGTATATCTATATGTAGATGATTGCGCAAAAGATGCTTGGCACATTTATATATACAGGGGCGACAGTCAGATTCATGCTAAATACAATCGTTATGCGTTTAGCATGATTGCATTTGTCGCCTCTGCGTGTTTACCACAACGTCCACTTTTATATTTACATATCCTCTAACCTTATATTGAGCATTTTAATCCATAAATATAGCATAAATTATAACATTTTATCATTATTATATATATATATATATATATATATATATATATATATATATATATATATATATATATATATATATGTGGATGTGTTTTTGTGTATATAGTCAGATAGATAGATAGATAGATAGATAGATAGATAGATAGATAGATAGATAGATAGATAGATGAACTGTTGTAGATAGACCGATATAGATAGAAAGAAACAGATGAATTTGGAGATAGATAGAAAGTTGAACTGTGGTAGATAGATCGCCATAGATAAGAACAAATAGATGAATTGAGATAGATAGTTTAACTGTTGCCAATAGATCGATATATATAGAAAGATGTGATAGATAGATAGATAGATAGATAGATAGATAGATAGATAGATAGATAGAAAGTTGAACTGTGGTAGATAGATCGCCATAGATAAGAACAAATAGATGAATTGTGATAGATAGTTGAACTGTTGCCAATAGATCGATATATATAGAGAGAGATGTGATAGATAGATAGATAGATAGATAGATAGATAGATAGATAGATAGATAGATAGATAGATTTAAAAGAAAGTGGTTAAAGTTTGGCTGTTAATCATTCGCTTAGTAGGTTGTACTGTAAATGAATAAATTAATTTTGCTGAGAAGCAAAATCAAGAACAAGAAAACAATGTTGCCAAAATTTATTACCAATTATCCCGTAACTTATATCACAAAGCCAATGGCGATTACAAAAATATTCTACGCATCTGAAAACAAAAAATAATGGTTGCCTAACAGATGTAATCAAAACCTTTCTTTTATAGAAACAAACTGATTTTCTGCTCTATTCAGTAACTTTACGCTTGATTTGATTTTGGTAATGAACCATTGCTTCTCGGTCTTTGCTTAGTTTACTCTCTCATAGTGTCGGGCAAGTAAACAATGTTTGTTATTTGTTGCTCGTTACCTCTGGTAATATTCAACGCGAGAAAAAGTAGTTCGTTATCTCTCCAATTTACAACGCACGTATTTCTTATAGCCGAATTACAACATTTTGCCACTTTATCTGTGCTAATATTATTCCTCGCTGTTCTCTGTTCGTATAAATAAAAAAATAAAAATATCCAATCCATTTATTGTAATTTAAAAAGCTAATACCACACTAGTTAATTAACTTACTAAAAAGTTCATTCTCGCCACTTATTTGAATGCATTTCTTTTTTATTTCCCATATTTAAGCGTTTCTCTTTTTTTCTTCTTCTTTATCGTGGTTGTTGTTACTGATGATATGTTTAATCAGTTTCGTTCTTGTTTGTTGTTAATAGAAAAGGTGGAAAGATATGATAGCGTGGACAAAAGGGAGATTAAGACAACGACAACAACAAAGTGGGAGTTACAATGACTTGCGGATGCCAGAAATTGGCGTAGATGTAACTGGAAAAAAGGAAGAAAACCACAGACTAAAACAGAAATAATTAAAAGAATTAAAAACCTGAAAACAAACCAAGAATGATTAAAAACTTACCGAAACATAGTTAGCGGGAAAATAGTTTGAAAGAAATGAGAGACGGAATTTAAAAAAAAAAAAGATGAATCCAAATAGAGCCTGGGGGAGAAGAAAAAAAAATGCAGACGAATGAAGACAGATGAACAGAAAGAAGAAAAGAGTCAAAATAAAAAGTAAAAGAAGAAAATTAAAGACGATTCAAATTTTAAAAAAAAGGCGAAAAGACAAAAGAACAACAAGGGAAAAAATGGACGAAGCAAAAAAAAAAAAAGGTGACGTAAGGGAAACAAAAAACAAAGGAAACGACAGTAGAAAGAAAGAAAACAGAAATTAAATGATATAAGATAAAACGAATGGCGAAAGAAAATAAAAAAAGAAAGAAATACAAGTAAAACAAAGAAAAAGTAAAAGACAAAGAAAATAGAAAGAAATGCAAAGAGAGAAACGCCACGAAAAATAACTGAAGAAACACAAATTTAAAAAGAAAAAGAAGAAAGACAAGAATGACAAACAAATAAGAAAAAAGAGAAAAAACCGACTGATGGAAAGAAAGAAAAAAAGAAAAATTGAAAATGAAAAAGAAAATGCAAAAGAAAAAGATAAGAGAAAAAGATAAGAAACTAAAAACAAAAGAAGATGGAAAAGCAAATGCAAAAAGAAGAAATAAAAGATGAAATTAGGAAAGACTCAAGACAGAAGAAAAAAAAAAAGGAAAGAATTGAAAAGAAGCCTAAAAATATCATAAAAAATTACAATGAAGATAAAGAACAACCAGGAGGCAACACAAAGGAAGTTGCGAAACAGGAATAAACATTGATAAATGAAGCCTGAATGATGTTTGATTAATTGTTCATCAATGAGAAAATGTTTCGTTACGTTTTCTAATGTTTCAACAAAATCATTCACAACTTTGTATTTCCGTTCCCGTTGGAAAATTCATTTTTCAAAATAAATATGTTGCTCTGATTCGAAACCGGATATTTGGCATTAAATTCAAATAGGTCTTCAATGCGCAAGCTTAAAGATATCATTTTAAGTAAAAGACTGAATTTTCAAAGCGTTCTCAAATATAAACCTAACTGAAAAATAATATATTTTTTCGATTTTTACGATATACATTCTAACGTAAAAGGATACATTTGCACATTTCCCAGCGTATTATTTATCCATCCCATTCAAGTATTCTTTCCTTTTTGATTTTATTAATGTACTAGCCGAATTATCTGCGCCTTGCTGCATGTCACACATTTTTTTTGTAAGAAAACGATGATTGATTTTAAATCATGGTTGTAATTTTTGGTGAAAAATGATGCATTTCTGTATAACTCAATGCTCTTGCCGTTTGACATCCATCTTCTGGGATTCTTTTTCTATATTTTGAATAAGAGTCATTCCTTGTTCGAATTAAAATTTAATTTAAGTCAGAGGGAAAAAGAATTCAGTTGGGATTTTATGTCACCCGGGGACCCCCTTTGATCAAAATTAAATATACTTAAACAAGTACCCTAGGAGCCATTCCTTTGTTCAAATTTAAATTTAATTTACATCAAAGGGAAAACATTCTCGGTGCGCGGCAGGGGTGTCCCTCGGGGATCCTTTGATGAAAATGAATATATACTTATCCAAGTACCCTGGGTAATGTAGTTTCATAATATATATGGTTATGGGGTTTATCTTCAAAACCCTAGAATTTTGATAACAAAAAATAAGAAAGCAGAGGCTACAACTTTTTATATATAGAAGACGTTTATATATATATATATATATATATATATATATATATATATATATATATATATATATATATATATAATAGTTATTTCTGAAGAAAGATCGAGGTCGATCTGAAATATCAAATATATATAAATAAATAAATACTTTCATAAATAAAACATTATTATTTTCTAATTTGTAACTTTATATATATATATATATATATATATATATATATATATATAAGACTTTTTGACACTCAGAAAACAGCTTCTGTCTGCCTACCCTATGTGAAGGGATTATCGAGAAAATACAAAAGATCTGTGGGTTATATAACATAAGAACGACCTTCAAAATTGGATCGACGTTACGCAGTAATACCCACTAAAGACTAAGGGTTGTGTACGCCATCCTATGCAGCTGTGGTAAGAAATATAACGAAGTAACAGACTGCCCCGTTAAGGTAAGACTGCAAAAACACCTTAAAACTTAACACAAGGGGTAATGTTGAAAAAAATGTGCCGTAGCTGCCAATATGGACGAAGAACTCAGATCACTACTGCCTATGGGATGAGGTTGAAATAATAGGTCAGAAAGCATCACTGGAAATTACGAAAAACTTAATGAATCAGCACATATGTTAGGCTGTAAAAATCTCCTAAGCCGGCCAGGCATAGAAATGAATCCACTATGGGAACTAGTAATACGGCGTGCGAGAGAAAAGCGATAATAACAACAAAATTGCAATATGAATTCTGGTAAAAAACGGTTGCTGAGACATCAAGTTTTAAGTCCTCGAAATTCATATACTGATGTCCTGAACGAAAACTTATATTTTTGATTATAAGAATAATTCTTTCTTTTACGAGATAAGATTGCATTAAGATTGTTTTGAGAAATTTTTTCAGATACAAGTCCTATTATTTAACTCATAGCTGACAGGAGTAGATATATCCATATATTTCTCTAATATATTTGGACATACGCAAATATAACGAACACGACTGGAATTTGAACTAAGCTCTCTGATTTCATATTCCGAGCCGTTATTCATTACACCAACTGCACATCGTAGCGAAAAATGTCTTGTAATAAAACTGACATTTTTAGCTACTTTTTCAATCCTAAAAGAGCGTTTATATATGTATCTTCTGAGAAACCGCGTCGTTTAGATTTTATTTACATGACTCCTCGAACTATGCTTGCCACGCTAGAATTAAAGAAATATAAATATTTGTCTCTGTTTTTAGAGATATCTCGCAGACGTGAAAATTTTAATTTATCCGAAATGCTTGTTTGAGCAGAAGAACGGGAAATTCTCCTGGTTTCATGTCCGGCTGAGAATGATGAAGCCGATGGAAGACTAGAATTGCTTGATGACAGTTACATTCTTGACGGCATTTGAAGTAGATGATTGACAATGCTTTGGAGAAATTCAAAAGCAGAAACCACAATTCAATAACCACATTGTTCCATTCATAATCACATAAGTGCTTCACGTCGGAAACCATTCGAATAAATCCCTCAGAACTCTTACACTTTACGTTTCTCATGTCTATGCCCAGATATGGCGTCATATTTTTTTTCTCGCGCGTATGCAACAGTATTTATTAGAGATAAAGGTGTCTGAGTAAATCACTCTTCCTCCATTACAGAATACAGCAACTGATAACACCAATGCATATGAGAACATCCATTTCAGCGGGGATTTTGTGTTAATCATTACACCTCACGCAAGTTTATAAAGACACAAGAACGCAAGGAGTTAATGAGTGTAAAGGAATATGAGAAAACATTAGGGAGGCGAAAGGGCAATAAAAAGAATAGGATTCAAGGGAGCATGATTGCAGTTGAATTTGAACTGTGGAAGATTGTAGTTGATTGAAAAGAAAGAAGAGACTTCCAGGAGAGAAGAAACTATTAGAATATAATTTATCGTTACATTTACCAATTCCAACAGTAAAATAATGAGACCCATCTGCCATTCTAGTGCAACACTTAAATTCATGAAGTCAGGGTACCAAAGATGGAAAGCTCATCAGAACAATTGCCATAATACATAAAAGACGCATGGAAACCACGTGACGGTGCTGGGGAAAGTGATTGAAATGGAGATGACATGACAGATATGTTAAGAAATATAATTGAACTATACATTTGAAACTTCAGACAGGTACCTAGTTTTCCACTCCAGAACAAGATTTTGTGCTATTATTTAAAATTTATCAAAGTAATATTTGTTACAAAATTTATCAAAGTAATATTTATTACAAAATTTTCCAAAGTAATATTTGTAGCAAAATTTACCAAAGTAATATTTGTTACAAAATTTATGAAAGTAATATTTATTACAAAATTTATGAAAGTTATACTTGTTACAAAATTTATGAAAGTAATATTTGTTACAAAATTTACCAGAGTAAAATTAAAGTGTTTGTCATATGCCATGAAATTCTATGATTGATCCATTGAGTTTCATTTACGGAATCTCTTATACCCACTGTTAGCATTGACAATTGAAATACACGACGCAATGGATAAATTGTCGTCTAAATTACGCAAAAAAAAAAAAATTAAATAAAATTGATATCTTATTTTAACAGATATATTTGCCAAAATTACACAAAAATATCTAAAAATAGAAAATTTATTCAATAAAATTGCTACTGGCTTCAACCCCGGCCTCCAGACGACTTTGGATTCTCCTGCATCTCTTCTGCAGGTTGCCTTGTTTAAGTTGGCGAATGCTGTCAGAATCCTTGCCTTCAGTTCATATTTGGTGTTACAAGGAGTTTTGTTGGTCTCTCGCTCAACTGCGCTCCACACATAATAATCAAGGCGGTTGCAGATTGGGGAGTTAGTTGGCCAGATACAAGAGTTGATATGGTCGCAGAAATTGTCTGATCGCTTCCACTGGGTTCTCCTGCTTGTGTTGCATGGTTCTGAGTCATGTTGCCAGATATAGGTTGTTCCAGCAGCTACCCAGTTGACCCAGGACAGCACAACTCCGTACTGAGTCTGAGGTCCTCGCCATCAAATTCGGGAGTTCATTTCTCATCAGAACGATCAGAATGAGTTTACCAAGCTGCTATACTTTCGTAATCCCCATTAGACTTCCCCAACTCTTTCCGAATCTTATGCTCTGTCCTCAGATTGACACCCAAACAACCTGAAATGTTTGTATTTAAGCTTCCGGTGCAAATATCGAGTAGTACAGCGTTCCCAAATTTCTGGCAGAGTGAATTGCGTCAATATGCTCTTTTTTTCTCACAGTCGGTGCCCGACTGACCATATTATACTGTGCAGGTGACAAAATAAAAAAAAATAAAAAAACAACACGCATGCGTAAAATTAAAAATATAAAATGGCGACAATTTACCAGTCGTATCCTGTAGTTTAAAAATACATTAGAAGGAAAAATTATTGAAACTTCGCCATAGATCAAAAATTATGCAAATTATGTAAATGATTTTTATTTTCATATTTGGTGAATGGCTTGGAGAATCAGAACTATAATTATTCCGACTCTTTTTTAAACGCCATTTCGCTTTCAGACTTAGTTTATCATGGCTGTACACACAGGTTTGGGTGGTGGAATAGATAGCGGCTCGAGATGTGAAATCAGAAAGTCATGTTCGAATTCCGCGCGAATTCGTTAAATTCAATTTCGCACACATAACCTTGGGAAACAAATACATCCGTTTCATTAATCCCCAGTTATGGGTTAAATAGTATAGATAGATATTTAGAAAAATCACAGTTATCTCTAACAACAATTGATAATGGAATATTCACTTACCCAAAAAAAGAAAATTATTCTCATAATTCACAATATGTTCAGCTTTAAATAGTACACAGATTTGATTGATTTATTTTTACGGTTTATCAACGATTTTCAACTTATTTAAAGGTAGAAGATCTTTTTGGTTTGAAAAAGTTTTTCGAGATAATAATAATAATAATATACTGATACAAGTCCTACTTATTAACCTATAGCTGGAGGGAGAAGTGGTGGATTCATACCTTTGCA